ATACTTGTAAATGAGAGGACATTTTGACAAGTTGTTTTTTTTAAAAAAGTTCTTATAACTTTGAACAGTTGCTAAACAAATGGTTGTATGTCCAGGACTACCTGTAACTATTTCTAGACTTATCTATATTTTATATTTATATGCTTCAGATACTCCTTGACTTATGACCACAATTGAGCTCAAAATTTCTGTTGCTAAGCGAAACAGTTGTTAAGCGAGTTTTGACCCATTTTTACAACTTTTCTTGCCATCTCGGAAATCACTGCACTCGTTAAATTAGTAACATGGTTATTAAGCGAATCTGGTGCCTCTATTTATTTATTTATTTTTATTTATTTTATTTTATTTCTATACCGCCCTTGTCCTGCGGGACTCAGGGCGGTGTACAGCCGAGATAAAACATTGCATATAAAATTTAAAAACAGTTTAAAAAACAATTAAATAATTTCAGCCTTTGCTTTTGCTTGTCAGAAGTTCACAAAAGGTTATCACATGATCCCCGGACATTGCAACCATCATAAATATCCATCAGTTGCCAAGCATTTAAATTTTTATCACATCACTGTGGAGATGCTGCTATGGTTGTACGTGTGAAAAACGGTAATAAGTCATTCTTTTCAGTGCTGTTGTAACTTCAACTTGTAACTCCCTGGACCCGGCTGAATTAGCCAACTACCGTCCGGTCTCCAACCTTCGTTTTGTGGCGAAGGTTGTTGAGAGCGTGGTGGCACGACAGCTTCCCCGACACCTTGATGAAGCTATCTATCTGGACCCGTGCCAGTCGGGCTTCAGGCAGGGTTACAGCACAGAAATGGCATTGGTCGCGTTGGTGGATGATCTCTGGAGGGCTCGGGACAGGGGTTGCTCTTCTGTCCTAGTCCTATTAGATCTCTCAGCAGCTTTTGATACCATTGACCATGGTATCATGCTGCAGCGGTTGAGGGGGTTAGGAATAGGGGGCACCGTTTTGCGGTGGTTCTCCTCCTTCCTCTCCGACCGCTCGCAGTTTGTGTTGGCAGGGGGGCAGAGGTCGACCTCGAGGCACCTCGCATGAGGAGTGCCGCAAGGGTCGGTCCTCTCGCCCCTTCTGTTCAACATTTATGTGAAGCCGCTGGGTGAGATCATCTGTGGTTTTGGGGTGAAGTGTCATCTGTACGCTGATGATACCCAGCTATACATCTCCACCCCAGACCACCCCAACGATGCCCTTGATGTGATGTCTCGCTGCCTGGAGGCCGTGCAGGTCTGGATGGGGAGGAACAGGCTCAGACTCAACCCCTCCAAGACTGAGTGGCTGTGGCTTCCAGCGTCCCGAGATAGTCAGCAGGTGCCATCGCTGACTATTGAGGGTGAATCTTTGCCCCCCACAGAGAGGGCTCGCAATCTGGGTGTCCTCCTGGATGCACGGCTGTCTTTAGAAGAGCATATGACAGTCGTGGCCAGGGGGGCCTTTTATCAGGTTCGCCTGATTCGCCAGTTGCAGCCCTTTCTGGACCGGGACGCCTTGCGCACGGTCACTCACTCCCTTGTCACCTCCCGGCTGGACTATTGTAATGCTCTCTACGTGGGGCTCCCCTTGAAGAGCACTCGGAGGCTCCAACTGGTCCAGAATGCGGCCGTGCGGGTGGTTATGGGCGCAACTCGTGCCCATGTGACACCCCTCCTGCACAAGCTGCACTGGCTCCCAGTGGTCTTCCGGGTGCGATTCAAGGTGCTGGTTACCACCTTTAAAGCGCTCCCTGGCATAGGACCCGGGTACCTTCGAGACCGACTTCTGCCACCAATAGCCTCCCACCGGCCAGTTCACTCCCACAGAGAGGGTCTCCTCAGGGTGCCATCGGCCAAGTTATGTTGGCTGGCGACACCCAGGGGGAGAGCCTTCTCTGTGGAAGCCCCAGCCCTGTGGAATGAACTGCCCCCGGAAATACGTAAGATCCCCACTTCCGGGTATTTCGCTGTGCAGTGAATACCCTGTTGTTCCGCCAGGCCGGGCTATCGACATGATAATTTTAAATTGGGGTATTTTAAATTTCTGGGGTTTTAAATGGAGCCAAATTTATTTAATAATTTTAAATTTTAAATTGATGTTTGTCTTGTGTTTTTAAATAGGCTGTACACCGCCCTGAGTCCTTCGGGAGAAGGGCGGTATAGAAATAATAATAATAATAATAATAATAATAATAATAATAATAATAATAATAATATTATTATTATTATTATTATTATTATTATTATTATTATTATTATTATTATTAAAACGATCACTAAATGAAACTGTTGTAAGCTGAGGACTGACTACCTGTATACAGATAGTTCCTGAGTATCAAAAAGCAAGCATCTTTTCTTCCTTTACTGTGGGTAGAAGTGAGTGGCTTCTCAAGAAAGAATGTTGTCAGGCTAGCACTGAAGCTGTTATATTGATGCGTTGGCTTAACTTATGTACACAGTGCTTCATAATTATTCTTGAAAAGTGTCATTGTTTTTGTGGCTTATCCTTTGAGGAATGCACTGAGAGAAGATTTAGTTTTCTTCTCTCTGTATAAATATATGGATGCAGCTGGAATATGTGAAGGTGGACAGATTACCCATATATCTACTCTTTCTGCTCTGTTGACTCTTTGGGTGGTCTGTTGGGAACACAGCAATAAGTCTAAGCATTTTTCACTTAGTTGTCCAGCAGCTAGGTTGATTCTAGATACTCAGAGGAAAACATAATTATGCCAGTGTTTAGTTTGGCACAAAGAATGTATAGTTTATTTAGCTCATGATGGCTTAGCTATTAGTCTCTCTGTTTCTATTGTACATTTATTATTAAATTGTTATCAGTGATCGTGAGCTTTTTTGAGTTACTTTTCTACAAAGCTGAATAATGTTGCATATATTACCTCTTTTGACCTAAGGGCTGATGTAATTTCTGAAATGGAAGGGTTTTTTTTCTTGCAAAAGATGAAGTTTTGCTTCATTCACTACCAAATCAGTGAAACATGCTTCTTGTCACACTGTTTCCCCTTAATTCAGTTATCTATAAAGGTTTATGCTAGCTGTGATAATGGAATTGTAGTCACAACTACAAGTAGTAATTTGGAAAAGCCTGTGCTGTTTAAATGATCAGCTCTACTAGTTTACTCTCATTTGGGTTAGTTCTGTCTCGTTTCTCTTTCACACATTATTTGGCTAAAATTCTTCCTTGGTCAGCTACTGTTCTGGAATAACAAATTTAGACTATTTAACCTTTCGGTTCCCATAAGTTTAGCATCAGGTATAGCAACAATTCTTCAACTGATAACAATCACAATATATCTTAAGTTTTTAAGAAGAGATTGGGCAACCATTTGTCTGACATGGTATAGAGGCGTGATGGTGAACCTATGGCACACGTACCAGAGATGGTACGCAGCACCCTCTCTGACAGCATGTGAGCTGTCATCCCAATTCAGCTCTGCTGCGCATGGCCAGCTGGTCTTCGGGTCTCTGCCACACATGTGGGGGGGGCCGCATGTGGGGGGAACGCGTGTCCATGCAGGGGTGTGTGTAAGTGCATGGGGGCCGTGGCGTGTTCAGAGGGGGTGGGGCACATGCGCATGCACGGGGGGGGGGGGATTCATGCAGAGGGGCAGGGCGTGTGCAGGGCCCCTTGCGGGGCCTGGGGCGCATGCGCAGCCCCCCACACACATTGCATTTTGGGGGTTTGGGTGTGTGCGTGCACTCGGTCTGGAAAAGGTTAGCCATCACTAGTATAGAGTTTCCTGCTTGAGCAGTGGGTTGGACTAGAAGACCTCCAAGGTCCTTTCCAACTCCCCTCCTCATCCATCCATCCATCCATCCATCCATCCATTCATCCATCCATCCATCCATCCATCTATCTATCTATCTATCTATCTATCATCTAGTGTGAGTGTCTGGAACAAAGAAAAAGAAATAAATAAAAGAAAGCTAAAAGCATGAGAAATAAATAAAAAGAAAAATGGAAAAGAAAGAAAAAAGATATAAAGAAGTAGCTTCTGATGTTTACAACATTTATAAGTACAACTCTTTTCTTTCTATAATCAATGCTGTCCAATCATCAAAACCATAAATCATAAGTTCATTTGTTTTGGATGGGTGCTGGAATTCATTTGAAAGCTGAGTTTGGAGAGTTGATGAGGAAATATAAATATAGTTTGTCAAATATGCATCAACACTTAAAGAAACTGGAAAAAACAGCTGGACTTCTTCCATTTATATGTGTCCAGAATTCAATTTAAAATATTTGTTAAATTAAACTCTGCCATTTGGAACAAGGTGAAAAACTGTCAGTAAACTTGTATCTTTTCTGAGTTGAAAAACAATGGCTTCATACTTCTGCTTTATTATTGAATAATATCCATTCTCTCAAAACCCTTTTAGGAAGTCTTGCAGTATATTTTTGAGGAAACATATTTTGTACTTTTTATTATTTTAAAATTATCTCTTGGCCTATAATTATAGTAGGAATTGCAAAATATGTTACCACACAATGAAGAGAACTATTAAGATATACATCATGTGTGTCAAACTCGCAGAGTCACATTGCCTTCACATGACATATCACAATGTTTTTTTTTCCCTTCGCGGAGCTGGGGTGGGCATGGCATATGTGTGATGCATTCGGCCTGTGGGCTACCAGTTTGACACCCCTGATATACAATATAGAATATTATCCTCAGGAATAAGATGTGTGGACTTCAAGAATTCTGGAATTTCCAGTCCACATATCTCAAAGTTGCTGGGGTTGAGAAGCACTGTTCTAGATTAAATTGAGGATGGTATATTTCAAAAACAGGATGTTTTTATTTTAGGAATTCAATAATGGAATTTACAGAACTCTATTTAACAAGATTGTGTATTAATTAATTTTTTTTTCACTTTATTAGCAATGCTGTCATTTCCAGTTTAGAAATGTATATATTGAAAGGCTCTCTTTCTCTGCTGGGAAACTGATGGGTCTACTAAATTCCATGAAATCTGCTTTTGTCTTTCAGAATATGACAAACTGGGATTTCTTCTGAAGTTGGATTCCAAACTGTGAGTAGAATGATGAAAGGACTTTATTTTGATCTGGCATTATCAGCTTCTTTTAGAGACAAAATAAATTTTGGTCCTGGCTTTCAAATCATATTACTATAATATTATGCCAATAAGCAGTGTTATTCAATAGCCAGGACTAAAATTTATTATAAAAATAGTGGCTTCTTAATATGATTTTAATGTTTATCAACAAAAAAGATTCAAAATAAACCATCAAGAACATCATGTGAGAATTTTCATCATAGACCATTTCAGACTACTGAAATTAAGAAATAAAGTCAATTTAATTAAATAGAGCATTACTGGGTGAGCTTATATGAATTTCAAACCTGTGCATACTTAGGGGTTTTCTTAACATCAGTGTTCAGCAGTGGTGGGTTTCAAATTTTTTTACTACCGGTTCTGTGGGCGTGGTTTGGTGGGCGTGGCGTGGCTTGGTGGGTGTGGTGAGGCTTGGTGGGCATGGCTTGGTGGGCATGGCAGGGGAAGGATACTGTAAAATCTCCATTCCCTCCCCACTCCAGGGGAAGGTTACTGCAAAATCTCCATTCCCTCCTGATCAGCTGGGGCTTGGGAGGCAGAATAGATGGGGGCAGGGCCAGTCAGAATTTTTACTACCGGTTCTCTGAACTACTCAAAATTTCCACTACCGGTTCTCCAGAACTGGTCAGAACCTGCTGAAACCTACCTCTGGTGTACAGGGAAAATAAGGTAATCTGTTCACATATTGCATTAGCCTGATTTGTGAACTACAGTATCTATGTTCATGCATCACCCTAAGACAGAACTACATTGTAATTTACTGGTGATGAATTAATATAGTCTATTGTGCATACATTATAACATTTATACATTTATAAATAAATTATTTTGCTGATGAAACAAAGGTGATTGTACTTGAAGCCTCACTCCTTTTTTTTTTAATGTGCATCTCATATGAACAAAGCAGTAAGACTTTTATCAAATGGTTGTGGCTTCCATCTTGAATTTTTTAAACTCTCTAAATTTTAAAGTTTAAATTTTTTAGTTTAAAGTTTTTTAACTTTAATTTAAACTATTTTTTAGTTTAAATTTAAAGTTTAAATTTTTTAAACACCCTAAATCACATGTGTACGCCGTGGAAAAAAGCAAAAGTAATAAGGACATACCAAGTAGCTGAAAAAATGAAAAAATAGATATAAGAGAAATGGCAGAATTAAACTTGCTCAAGCAATTTCTGAATGTTATTAGATTTCCCAAGCTGTAAGTATATGTCCTATGTTCAAGGCAGTGTGCAATAGTGGCTACATTGCAACTACCAGCATAATATTGGGCATAATATTATGCTTATTACCACATTTCAGGCACTATTAATAGATAGTATACAGATAAAGTAATTATGAAATGAAGACTAGATTGGAATAAGTAATGGAGAGTGATAAGCTTCAGAAAAATTAACTGTATTACTTCACAACAGCAAACTGTATTACTTCACAGCAGCAAAACAGAAACTGTGGTATTGTGAGCTTTGCTAGTTAGTTAGACACATTTGTCTGAGGCTGCCTTTCTCATCTGAGGTTCTGCAGAACCTCTGGGGTTCCATAAGTGACTAGAAAAAATACTTTAAACTTCACATGCCATATAATCCTAGTAGACAAAATGTTGGGAATTTTTATGTGCTGTCACTCAGTGCCGATCTGCTGCTTTGCTGTTGTAAATGTAGAAATGAATTGTATTGTGAAGTATATATATATCAATATTAATGCAGGGATTGTCAGTGCTCTCAAAATTCAAGGATTCCTTGAAGAAAAAATCCTCTAGGGCAGGTGTGTCAAACTTGTGGCCCGCAGGCTGGATGTGTCACGTGCTGGCCACCCCCACCTCCGGTTTAGTGAAGGGGGAAAAGTCATGATAAGTCATGTGACGACAACGTGACACCATGAGTTTGACACCCCTGCTCTATGATAAAAAGGTTAAGAAAGTCTGTATTCTTGTGATTTGTGATTGTACATTTCAATTCTTGATTTAGTCATTCTTTCTATTATATTAATGTCCTTCAATAATCACTATTACATTAGTGTCCTTCAGTGGTTTTCATATCATTTTTAATGCACATATCCTCTTTTTAGGTCTCATTACTTAGATCTAGTAAAATATCAAAGCTAGGACTCAGACTTTGGGTATAGATTATTCAACTTGAGCTTGGCTCTAGATGACTCTTGTTTGTTGACAACAAGTTGGAAGTGGAATTTGGGGGGATTTCTTCTCAGTTTCCACTTCAACTGCAGCCTTGAGATTTTTCATCCAAATGCTCACTGTTTAGATTTTTCAAGATGACTCAGAGTCGGTTATGTGTTGCCACCTTCTGTAGTCATACACAGTATTGTGACACAATCTTTTTGCTTGAAGACTTTATTTGGGCTTGTGAAATGTTTTGAGAAGGCATATGCAGAAAGGAATGGGACACAGAAGGCAAAATGCATAGGCTGTGTGCAACCAGACTCCCAGTTTCTCCCTCCCTACTGGCTTATTGTGCTTCAATCTGGAAAATGCATCTCAAGGCTCTGAAGGGGGAAAAAAAAGTAAACCCCACAAGTCAGACATTTTCGTCTTCTGATATAGAAGTGGAGAGACTTGAGTAACCCCTTTAAGGAATGGCATACTTGGGAGATAAGGACAATTTACGCTGAGGGCAAGCAATAAGGGGGACTGCTGCCAAAGATGACAAGGTGGCTGCAAGAATCAGTTGTGTTGATCAACACAGCACAGTAACAATTAAGGGAAGAGAATTCAAGCTTTCAAGACAATTTGACTCCTGGTAACTGCCCTCTGAAGATTCCTTGGCAAGATTTTTTCGGAAGTGTTTGGCCCATGCATCCTTTCTACTGCTGAGAGAGAATGATTGGTCCAAAATCACCTAGCTGATTTTGTGTCTGTGCAGGACTAAAACTCACAGAGCCCCCCCCCCCCAATTTCTAGTCTGGTGCCTTAATCACTACCCTAAACTTGCTCTCGGTAACAGAGAAGAGGGTGTTAAATAATTATTTCCTGCAGGCCCCAAATATGTTAGGTATGCAACTGCTTGTAAGAAGGCTGCTGGCGTGTTTGGTGCTCCTGTAATTTGCAGTGCAAATTTTAAAAAGCCGCCTCCAGCAGAGAAACTTTGCTGGAGATCATAGAAATGTCTTTGCTTCTAAAGTCATTAATCCTTATGTCCAGATATATTTTATACTGAAATAAAACTAGTTGCCACCAGTAACTTGCCTGACCGTGTAAAAACTGAACATCTATTGTTATGAAAGATTTAACTCAAATTATAGTACAGATGTCAGGAACCGGAATTTAAATTTTTGACTTCAGGAGATAATGTTGATTGTAGATCATTTATTTAGTTATTAGATAAATGAATATCTTATCAAATGGATTGGGTAGTTTACAGAAATAGTAAAATTAGCATTTTATGTTGATCTATTTATAGTACTCATGTTTATTCTGCAAAGTTGGCAAACAAACACATTGTAACAAGTGTAGATAAATCATTTCCTAAACATTAGTAAGGAGGCGGTAAACCCAACCCTAGTTAATTTTGTGTAGATGGTCTGCTGATAGTATAAAGCTGTGATGGCGAACCTATGGCACGGGTGCCACAGGTGGCACGTGGACCCATATCGGTGGGCACACAAGCTCAGCTCCGACACGCATGCATGCGCCAGCCAGCTGATTTTCGGGCCTTCTGGGCCCACCAGAAGTCAGGAAACACACTGTTTCCGGCCTCCAGAGGGCCTCAGGGGTGGGTGGGTGGGGAAGGCTGTTTTTGCCCTCCCCAGGCTCCTAGAAAGGCTCTGGAACCTAGGGAGAGCAAAAAATGGGCCTACCGAGCCCACCGTCCAGCATGTGCCAAAAGTGGGGGAGCACGGGGGGGCAGGGCGGATAGAATTATGGATGTGGGCACACGTGCGTGTGACCCCACCACGCTCCCCCCGCTTTTGGCATGCGATGGCAAAAAGGTTAGCCATCACTGGTATAAAGTTTCATCATCTCATTTTTAAAATTATGGTATATTGTTTTAAACATTGTTAACAACAAAAAAGAGAATATTTATAAAAATAGATATTTTGGAAAGTTTCATACAAGTGTCTTAATAAAACAAGCTGCAATATTAATTTTATTGATTAATTTTATTATTTATTTTGATCTAAGCTTGTCTTGAGGACTGGTTCCATATTAACTTATAGTATTTTCTTAATTTGAAGCTTGTTACTGATAATATTCCAGCTTGATATACACATTTCTAAATGCTTGGACATTTAGCCACCCAAAAACTGTTGCTTCTACAGATGAACTCTAATTAAATTATTAATCATAGAATTTTATATTTTATAGATCATAGGATTTTATATTTGCTTGAAATGAGGTACAGATTTCATTTCGTTTCGTTTTGCATTTATTGGTGATAGAATAACATGCATCCTTAGTGAATTTATATATAATGGTGTTTTGGGCCTGTGACCATATATTTTAATAAACTGATAGGAAATTATTATTTTATCAATAAAAGAGAAAATATCAATAAAAGAGAAAATAAAGTCATAAGCTATATTGTTTAAACCAGACTTTGACTACCTCATATTCCTTGGCTAATGGCTAAGAGACTAATATGTTTGAAAAATTACTCTACTGGTATTAAGAATTTGACACGATCTTCTTGTGATTTCTGGCTACATTGTTGATGCCCATGTTTTGTGGAAATAATAGTCACACACTGGCTGTGTAGTCAAACTAGTAATGAATGCTTGGTATTATTTTCAAGGATTCATGAAAATTGAAAGGAGATGAGAAAAGAGAAGAGGAGGTCAAGACTGTATGAAAGAAAAAAATAAATAAAAGGGAACACTCTGAAATTGCTGAAGTGCTGTCAAATAAGTTGCATTCCTACATGAAATAAAGAGTTGGAATGCAAAAAACGGTCAGTTGGAGGGTTTCAAAATGTAGGTGGCATCTTGAATATAAAGCTTTAA